AAGAGGGTGGGTCGAGGAACTGCACAACATCTTATGGGCCTATCGCACCACGCCCCACTCAACGACAGGCGAAACCCCTTTTCGACTGACATACGACACCGAGGCCGTCATCCCCGTGGAGATCAGAGAACCCTCCAGGCGGACAGAAATGCCTCTCAACGAGGAAATGAACGACGAAGCACTGAGAGACGAATTCGACCTTGTCGAGGAAATTCGATCAGGGGCAGCCCTGCGCGAGGCTTCTCTAAAACAACGAGTAGCTCTGCGTCATGACGACAAGGTCGTCAAACGCGAATTCCAAATCGGTAGCCTGGTTTTGCGCAGAAACTAGAAAGACTCATGCAAAGGGAAATTGGCCGCGAACTGGGAAGGACCCTATCGCGTCCATGGCACCACAGACACCGGGGCATATTACCTCGAGCAGCTAAACGGAGAACCATTACCACGACCCTGAAACGCTGCTAAGCTGAAGCAATACTATAGCTAAAGCCCTTAAACACTAAGGACTCTCGCCGTCGAACATCCACATCTAGTCAACAGAGAGAAATGTCTCGACCTCATAGATATGCCAAGGTACGAGCCTAATCTACACCCAAACGACATAACGCCGTTCATCCAACGAGGCCGAACGACGATGCCTGACAGGGACACCTCAATCGAGCTCCACTGTCGAAGTACCCACATGGAAGAACACCTAGCTCGCGATGGGCAGTTCACGCTGCACGCATACGACCTTGATCTGGGTCATACGCTCGACACGCGGGCTTCACTCTGCACAACCGACGCATTTCGAAGTACGTCGGACCACCAAAGGGGTCGAAAGGATATCTCCACTCGAGGACATAACTTAGGCAAATTTCGTCACAAAGTAACAGTCGAATACAAGCTTAGCTCGAGGACATAAATTAGGCAAATTTCGTCACAAAGTAACAGTCGAATACAAGCTTAGCTCGAGGATATAACTTAGACAAATTTCGTCACAAAGTAACAATCAAATACAAAATTAGATACGAGCAAAGTTAAAATTAAATGAACATCCATTGAAAAGTTTATACACAAGACAAGTTAAAATGAACCGACCAAAAAAGGCCGGCGATGTTCGGGGTTACAAGCCATGGCACAACGACCAAAAGAAATAAGCACGGGCACGCAGGCCCCCAAAATGAGCACGAGCACGCAGGCCCCAAAACGAATACCAATACGCGGGCACGCAGGCCCGATCAAAAACTCCATGCTAAATTTTCCCAGGAATACCGGCATCCACCACAGGAGACTCAGGAGGAGGCACGACCTGACCGTCAATAATCTGAGACATGAACCCCACTCCCTCGGTATTCATGCCCAGATTCAGGAGGGCGAGCTGGCTGACCGCGGCCTCAAACCCATCTGCTAAGGCACTGACACAGTCTATCTCAAGGAGGTGGATGCGCGTGACCAAATCCGACCGGGTCCACAAAGAGGCTGTCTCCTTCGACTCGTCGTCAGTAGGAAGCATAACAGCTTTTAGCTCCTCGACTTCCTTAGACAAACGTTCGTTATCACTCTCCAAGCGTTCCTTGTCCAGTTAGAGGCAATCCCTCTCCTCAACAATCTTCCCAGAGTTTTCCTTCTCCCCCGTCAGCAGGTCGGCTTGCTCGCGAAACATTTCCTCGGACCGCTCGAGGGCCGCCTTAAACTTACGAGAATTGGCAGCGAGGGCAGCTTTCTCCGACGCCAACTCCCTAACACGGTCCGAGGAGTCCGACCTTTCCTCAGCAAGGACCACGACCATCTCGGCCATCTTCACCATCCCGACCATGCTGGCGGCCAGGTGTTTCCTCCGACTTTCCTTGTCAAGCCGTTTGATAGTCTCGGCCTCGTCATTGCTCACCGTCAGAGGAAACCCCTAGAAGAAATCTTTCTCTTTAAAACAGGGGGGCAAGCCAAAGGCCCTCGCAGCTACGGACTCGTCGCCAACCTCCGACCTGTTTTCAGCTCGACTTCTCTTTCTGATAATCAGCTCGGTGGGCTGCTCAGCGTTAGGAGATCCCGGGGACCCACTAGAGGCATCGCCCGAACTGGCCGGCGGGCCCATCCTCGTGGCTTGCGGAGCTCGCACCAGCATTTTGTTTACTTTCTTATCCTGAGTTAGTTTCAACAACCTCTCCCGTCGTTCAACCATGTCGCCGGCAAGAGCAAAACTCGGGTTAGTTACAAGCAAGCAGAAACGACGAAAATGGAATAAAATAATAATAAAAGTAGAAGCAAGAAACCTAGCAGATCTACGGCCTGTCCGTAAGATTGGCACTCGACGAGCGCCTTCGTGTCGATGGGACGAGCCTATAATGTCGGGTACCCTTCCTCGTCAAGAATATCATCCCCCTCCCTCGTGACCCACCGGGCAGGGAAGAAGCTGTTGACATACTTGCAAAGGACAACATAGGCCTCCTCGTCCTCGACACTCATACTTCCAGCAGGCGTATGATAGTACCCAGTGTCGTGGTCGTAATGGCCCGAGCACCAATGTATCGGGAACTTGGATATGCGCCCTACTGCCGGACGACCCTCAACATCCATGAGGGGCTCCCCGTCTTCGTCGACCACCGCGGTTTCTGATTCGAACAAGGAATCCAAGGCAGTCTGGGTGACCGGCTGCAGAACGTACCACTTATCCTTGAAGCCCCTGACCAAATCCATATACATCCTGAACAGCCTCTTCGACTGTTTCAGGGATACCCAGTTATGCCTGCCTCCTCGAGACTGACGTTGCAGGTGAAAAACCCTGAAGAAAAGCGGAATCGTCGCCCTGATCCTCAAGAAATGGCACGTCAGCTCGAACACCTGAAGGAAGGCGATCGAATTAGGGTGAAGCTGCGAAGGGGCCAAGTTCAGGTGGCAGAACACCCCGACTTGAAAATCGCTGAAGGGGAGCTTAAGACCAAGATCCCTGAACACGATCTCGTACATAGGAAACCCATACTCGGTAAACTCTGAGCAGATTCGCGCATCGGTTGACGACCTCATCACCACAATTCTTTTGGAAACCTGGCTGACTACCGCCATGCTCGACGACAGTATATGCACGCCGACTACGCCGACAGTACGTCGAGGCAATCCCACGGGGCTCGGCGCCCACCCAATCCAACGAGGGGTCATCGATAGTATCAACTAAAGTCACGTTCTCTTCGGTACTTGGGTCCTCGACTTCATTTTGTCTCGAAGATTCCGGTTCGTCGGCCATTTACCTGTAAAACATAAGAAACCGGTGAAATTCGAGAGCAAATCCGCGTGCTCGCCACAGAGACAGGAGGTAGTACACAACAAACCGACCAGGGACACCCCAACTCCGACCAAGCATCGGGGACAACAAGGGAATGGCACGAACGCCCCGGATGAAAAACATGAATGAATCGAGCAAGGTCCTGACTTCGCCTGCCCGACACTAGGATACTGCGCGGGGGATACCCTACATACTTCCTAAAGGGTCAGCATCCCAACCAGCTCATGGGTGCGCCGACCAAAACTATGAATGTCATGGGCAGCATCATGAGTCATACGCCTAAAAAACTATGAATGTCACGGGCAATATCATGCGTCATATGCCTAAAACTATGAGTGTCACAGGCAGGACCACGAGTCATATGCTTAAAACTATGAAGGTCATGGGCAGCATCGCGAGTTATGTACCTAAAACTATGAGTTTACCGGGCACAATCACAGATCTACCGAGCACTACTCCCAGATGTGGGTTTCTAACATACAAATAACGTCAAAACTACTTACAACGAAGAAAAACAGGAGAAATGAACACTTACTTGGAAGAAAAGAGGAACGTACGACAGCGATGGAAGTAATCAACGGAGGTTGGTACGGTGATCTCACGGCGTTGTAGGAAACGACAGCGGCGGAAGCAGAGGAAGAAGGAGAAGCGCGGAGAAGAAAAACAAATTATGGGTCCAAGGATCCTATTTATAGGGATGACGTGGAATACGAAGCGTCACACCGGGGAGCCACGAACCTCCTCATCCTCGACATCTATTCCCCTAGGCAATGATGACCCTATTGTTGCTAGGGTGGCGTTACGATTCCCAAGGACTGCCTCGTGTATCCGACAAACACAGCCCGCGGGGAATTCCTCGAGCACACGTCGACGGGGATTGCACTGCGTATCCGACGAACTCAGCCCGCGAGAAACTCCTCGAGCGCGCGTCGGAAAGGCAGAACCCCGGTCCGCGCATCAGGTCCCCGTGGTAAAGGCGAGCTGAAGTCAAGTCATAACTCCTACCCCAGGAGCAACGACTTGGGGGACTCATGTTCTGGACTGGGCCCACCTTGGCCCAAAGCGCAGATAAAGGCCCAATCCAAGCAAACTCCTCGGGGAATGCTCACCAGCGGACCACCGCCGACTTGCCCGACCACCGACTGTAGCCACTGTGCCTGCTATTGCCCGCGACACACAGTGTCCCCGACCAAGGGAACTCCAGCTCGAGTCTTGCTCGAGCACCCTCCCCGTAGGGCAGACTCTGTCCATTCTAACCGTTATCGAGTCCTCTAAGCTCCGGAAAGACTGCGTCTTCGTCCCTCCTTATTCTTCGCAGAGCACCACCAGGAAGAGGACCACGTGCGGGTCCCCACTACGCACGTAGAACCTGACAGTCCCTTTATTGAGTCAGTTCTGGTCAGCCTAATGAGGGGACCTTGGCCCAGCGCTGGGGGCTATAAATACCCTCTGTTCTCAGAGGGTCAGGTATTCATCTATTACGCACCTATACATTTTTTGTCTGCTCATTCCCCCACTCATTTTAGCATCGGAGTGTCTTGCAGGTACTCCCATCTCACTCAAGTTCAGCTCGAGCCAGCCGTGACGGTCCAAATCTGACCTGGTAAGTTCACATAGTGATATGATATATATATGAAAAACTTGAACCACTTAGAACATTATTTAAATTGAATTTAATCTCAATTAATCATACAAATAAGCATATAGTCTAGGCGAGTTATTGAAGTGCAAAGAGGAATGAATGGGTTGTTGTTGTGGTTGGAAGAAGTTGTATGGCATCGGTAGTTCACTTTCTGCACCAATGTTACCACTCTCACCCTTTCGCCCTCTCTCTTCTTCTTCTTCCTCCATTTCCCCACTAGTACAACACCAACAACAACCAAAGCCACAACTACGAAGCTCACAACTCGTAGCATTGGAATACGCTGACCTCAACCTCTCCAACAATTTGGTTTCTATTTTTTATTTTCACTTTCAATTATCATCTCAAACGGATAATATTAATTTGTTTTATATTCAATTTCAGGAACTGGGTCATGTCAGAATCAGGCAACATGTTAATCCCCTCAGTTCTTCTTTCGCTGTACGTTCCTTTACTCTACCACTTCAAATTTTTTTAACCCTTCATATTTTATTCATATTCATTTCTAGACTTGAACGTGTTTTTAGTGTGAATTATGAAGCACTGACACAAACACACATCAGTGACAATGACACGTCTTTTTTCAGAGGTATCTATGTGTGCACACCAATATCCTTAATAAGTATTGTGAAACCAGACATAATATGCATTTGGTTCGGTGAATCCTTTGTGTCTTTCGTTGTTGATGAAAGGCTCTTTTTCTGTACTCTAATGATTTTTTGTTTTTCTTTATTTGATAGACTCCTGCACAAGTACCAGACTGGAACCAGGTCTTTGCAGACCCTGGATTGCCACTCATGGTAGATATTGGATGTGGTAATCTCAATTCATTCATAGATTTATGCGTCTGTCCTTCTTTCATTGTTGAATTTAGCATGCATGTTATTGATTGGCATTTTGGTTTGGATATCATGTTTGTGGAAGTTGATCATTTACATGATCTATTTTTGAGGTTGATTTCACCCTTTCTCGTTTATTCTACCAAAATATCTTGTAATCAAAGTTTCAAATATTTTCCACCAAGTCTTCGAACTTAACCGCAGGGCGCCGTTAATGAGTAGGTTTGTTGTCAAATAGTAGCTATAACAGCGCAATAACGTAGCAAAATTTAAACAAAATTATAGTGTTTCATGATACAATATTTTGTAGAAAGAGTTGTCAAATAGCAATATATTGCAGCGTTATAGTGCTGTAGATTACAAAATCTGAACAAATTGCTAATTTCCGCAATTGACAAAATTGTGAGTAGGACAATCAAATAATCGTTTCATTGCCTGTTAAACACCTTACTTACTTGTTAAACCATATCTGTTGTTGGAAATAATGTCAGGCAGTGGCAGGTTTCTTATGTGGCTTGCAAAAAGAACACCTGAAGTGAGAAACTATTTGGGATTGGAAATAAGACAGAGGGTAACGAAACGATTTTCTTTCTGTCACTTTTTGTTTTGAATTCCCCTGATGATTACTCTCTTCCCTCTCATTAATTTCAATTTCTTATCTTGTTACGGCATATTCAACTTAGAATAGAGGTGATATCGTATCGTATGATTGTATAATTCTGTTTCATGTGCAGATGGTCAAGCGTGCTGAGTTATGGGTAAAAGACCTGGCTCTAGATAACATGTACTATCAATCATATACTTTATTTGATTGTGAAGTAGTACACTTTATTTTTAACAATGCTGCAATAATGACTGTTTTTTTAAACCAAATGGCAGATATTTCTTGTTTGCAAATGCCCCAATTTCTTTCAAGCAGTTAGTAGAATCATATCCCGGGCCATTGCAGTTAGTTTCAATTTTGGTGAGTCTTTTTAAAAGCACTGAAAAGAAAATTTTGGTGCCTCTAAGATAATGCCTTGTTGGCTAACAGTATTGTTACTAAAAGGTTTTACATAATCAAGGCCTTTTATTCATCGCCCAACACATTAGCTCGGTTGTTGAGCTAATGAACACCGATGGAGTTTTAGAGTTTAAACCTTAAAACTAACATAACCAGTAACTTACTACTAACATTTTTATATCCAAAAACATGCAGTGTCCAGACCCTCATTTCAAGAAAAAACATCATAAAAGAAGAGTTCTGCAGAAGCCTTTGGTTGGTGCTATTGTAGACAACTTAACTCCTGGGGGACAGGTATATTTTCTACATGCTCTAATATATTTATACTTCTCCTTTGATCGTTCATCATTATGGAAATTCAAGTTTACCTTGTACACAATTCGTAAAATGAACTCCATCGAGAAAACCAAAATGGCGGTGGGGATTAAGTGATTAGACCATGTGGATATTCCAACATATTTTTTTATCGATGATGGCAAACTTCTGAAGGGAATGAAGAAATTGTGTTTGTTGTTGTGTTTATGACAGGTGTTCATACAGTCTGATGTGGTTGAAGTGGCACTTGACATGAAAAACCAGTTTGATGAAGTTGATGCACTTAGTCACATAGATGCTTTAAACCCTGCTATACTGTGTGACCGTGAAGGATGGTTATTAAGCAACCCTATGGGGATTAGGACTGAGAGAGAGATTCATGCAGAATTCGAAGGAGCAAAAATCTATCGAAGGTTGTACGAGAAGAAGCAGATGTGATTGATTTGTCAAGCTTTAGTGCATTTCACCAAATCTGACGAGTCTACACTTGGAATTTTGTTGTGTCTGATGTGTTCCTGCAGTTTATATGCTCAACAAACTTCTCTTAGAATGCTTACCAGTATTTTCTCTAGATATTAATTTATCTCATTTTACTTACGTTCGATTCTGTATTTGAAATATAATTTGTAGGTCTTATTGAGAAGTTAGATGAAATGAGTTTATGGAAAAGATTGTGTAAAACAATTTGATTTAACTTTTATTGAGGTAAGGTGTACTGTCATCTAAATAATCACGCCTAAAAATATAATTAGTTCAATTTACGGTTGAAATTGTGATTAACTCAATTATATAATCAATCACAATTTTTATGTGATTTAAATTAACTTTATATTTGATTGAATTAATAATATATTTTTGCAAGTGTGATATCAACTAATTAACTTTTTCTAGCATATCAATCTTAATTATTCTAATTCATATCATCCACTCACTCTGTGTGAAATGAGAATAAATCCCCTACACATTAACAAACAGCAGAATATAATAGGCTAAGTTTTCAAAGGAAGAAAAAACATACTACTAGCAATTATGCTTGCAAAAAATATATATAGACAGACATATATTCCATATTGCGTAGAAACAACGTGTGCTTTTTCAAAATAGAGAAATTATAAGTATAAGAATAGGTGAAGTTTCACTTCCTTTAATTTTTTGTGGCACCAACAAGAATTCACTTGTCACCTTTGAATGATTTTATAAAGAACGTTTGCAGTTTTCCATTGAGTAAGCACCAAGCAATATTTAATACAACTTTTTTCTTGTTGCATGTTACTAACATAATCTTGCGTGTTGCAATGTTTCTTGGTTGCAAATTTGTCTTGAAATGTTATGAATCTTCTTCCTTTCTTGCTAAATATCAATATACTTTGCATGGTTTTGGATTTCACTAATTATTGTCTTCGATCTCTGTTTATTTTTATTTTTGTGGTTCTTCACCCTTTTGCTTGATCATGATAAAAGAAACATGAGGTTGTTCAAATTGTTCCCCAGCTGCATCCTTTGATTGATTCTGATTGGGGTGTTGAAATCACTTTTAAGGTGTTTTCTAGATATTGTTGATATCATAGCAATTTATGTTTCCGTTATGGATTCAATCCTTTAGTGTTGCATATGAGAAAATGAATTTTTAGTTCTATTGGCATAAACACCTATGAAACTCTCTTTTGGTGATGAAACATTGAAATATACATATACCAATTACGACACTGACACGTTGACATCTATAATAATTTAAAAAATAAATAAATTGAACGTAATTACATGTATCAGTATTGTGTTTGTGTTGGACGCTGACACGTGTACACCAGACACACTTTTAGTCAGATATGTCGATGCTATAGTCTTTGAAATAACATATGGAAACAATTTTTTACATGTTAATAAATGGCTTAAGTTTTTGTTACAGAAATATGATATGATGTATTTATATTTTTGCAAATTTCAAACTATTTTAAGGCGAATCAAGATGAGCGACGGTAGAAACATTCAAGAGTCTACTGAGAGAGGTCTGTTTTCACATATAACAGGCTATCCAACAGCACCATCCTATCCTCCTCCACATGGTTCCTATTCCTCCTACCCACCTCAAGGAGGCTATTATCCCCCACAACCAGCATATCCACCACAAGGAAGTTACTATCCTCCACAATATCCACCACATGCAGCAGCAGGGTATCCACCTTCTGGTTATCCTCATTCAGGTTATCATCAACCATCTTATCACGCTCCACACGCCTATCCGTCTGCGTATCCTTCAGGTAAACACGATCATCCCAATTTGTTATCAGAAACAAACATATCAGCATGCATGTAAACAACTTTTTAAGATTTACGCCATGTTGGTTAATTTATAGGACGCGGAGCTGGTATAGGATTGTTCGCAGGTCTGGCGACTGCATATGGTGCTCACCATATGTCACATGGACATGGAGGTTATCATCATGGTTATGGACATGGGAAGTATAAGCATGGAAAATTTGGCAAACATGGGAAGCATGGCAGGTATGGTGGCAAGTTTAAGCATGGAAAGTTTGGCAAGCGATGGAAGTGATGCAGAGGACAATATATGTAATTCAATATGCAACTTTGAGCATGATCATGAATGCTGAACTTTTATATGAATAATGTATGCTAATTGCTATTAGTAACACTGTTTCAATTTGATGTTTGTAAGAAACAATTTGTGTTTCTTATGGGATTACATACTTTTATGCGAATTTATGTCAATGTTGTATGTATGTAATGTATTTGGGTTATCTTATTTGAGCTCTTAAAACAACTTATAAGCTTATTTTCATAAGTTATAAGTAAGGTAGTCAAACACGAGATCTTAAGTAGGATCAGACGGCCCGTAAAAGATTGTAAAACTAGGATCGTAGCACGATACTTAAGATCTTATCGAAGGGCAAAATGGTAAATTCATATGGACAAAAACATGCAAAATTATAATATATGAACAAGATAACCTATAAATCACAACATTCAACTAATTTAGTTAATAATTGATAACCATCGTTCATTCCCTAATTTAATAAGCTCAAAAGATCAAGTTCAAAATAAGTAGCTCAAAAGATCAAGTTCAAAATAAGTATCTTAAAATACATAAATATAACAAATAAGTCTAATCGTCTAAGATATTATGCATTCTTATATCATGATAGTCATATAAACCCTCCTCCCCGTCCTCATCCTCATTCTCTTCCACTTCAATGACATCATCTTCAACAATGGAAGGAACATCTAAATCATCACCAATAATACAACTAGCATCTTCTCCAACATCAAGTGTAATATCTTCATCATCTTCATTTTCCTCCACATTCGCAATCATTCTTCCCCTTCATTTTCAGAATCAATTTCATCAACCTCATAGTTAGCACTCTTTCTCTTGTTCTTCTTTTCTCCCAATTTTGAGTTAGTCATCACAAGAACTACCTTATTCAACGTGTTTTGCTTTAAGCAATTCCTCTTCTTAGTGTGAACCTAAATGATTATATAACATAAATGATTAAAATACAATAGATATTTAGAATACAATTGTTCAATAAATTTGAAAACTTACCCTTTCAAAAGCACCCAAGTTCCTTTCACATCTAGATGAGCTACATGTCAAACTAAGAACTCTCAAAGCAAACCACTCCAATTCAGGATGACCGCCTTAATAAGAATCCCACCATTGAGTTGGTGTTTTAGTTTGAAGTACAAATTTAGAAAATTCACTATCAAAAGATCCAACTTTGCCTTTGAAATCCTCAAGTTGAAGATCAATCACGCCTCTTTGTTTTGGATCTTCCACCATTCTAGCCAAACATTCTTACATGTCATTTATAACTTCATTATCAATAGTGAATCCGAGAGTATAATGCAAAATTGGATTCAAATAAAGGCTTGCAACATGTAATGGTCTACGAAGTTGCTTATCCCACCTTTGATTAATTACAAACTAAAATTACTACTCAAACTAGGTGTACGGTTATAAAATAAAAATTTAAAGTGAAAGACAATTACCTCTTTGCAATCCCATTAAAGCTTGACTGAATCATCTCTTTTTCCCAATTCATCTCTTCATAACAAAAATCCCATGGCTGCTTTCTCATCGGAGTCCATCATACACAACACTCTAATAAGTGAGAAAAACACCCGTCATACAATTCAAACATTCTTCTAAAACAACTTATCCAACACAATCTCTTCCACAGTGATTCCATATTTACTCTTTGCAATTTTTCCAGTCTTCCACTCTTTTGAATTGAACATAGTAATTAGTTCACCTCGATGGTTATTCAAATATTCCAATGTCAAATAAGAAGTGGAAAAACGAGTCATTGCAAGTCGAATTAAATCGGTATTATTAGTAAACTTATGCAACAAATAAATAAGACTTATTCTTGCATATATATAAGTTCTGATCTTTTTACCCCTGACAATTGTATCTTTGTGGAGAGGGATTTTCTTCTCAAAATATTTCAACATCAAGTCAATGTGATGGAAAGCACACGATATCCAAAACAATTTTGTTCTCTTTTCCTTCAACAATTCCCCGTCTGCTTTGTAATTGGAAGTATTGTTGGTAATAACCTGAAAAATATTTTCTTCCCTAACCTCTTCAACAATATCATCTATCATCTTAAAATATTTATCAGTTGTCTTAGTTATATCAGATGCATCAACAAAATTCAAAAAAATAGTTCCTTTGGGACTAATCACCCAAAAATTCAGTATAGTCCTTCTCCTCATATCGGCCTAACCATCCGTCACTATAGTGCATCCTAATTTCCTCCAAAAAAGCCATATGCCCCTCTAAATCTTTGTTAATCTGACCATAATAATAATCTAAATACTTCACTCCAATTTCATGATAGGATGGTGGCTTAAATCATATAACAATTTTATAGCAGACTCAAACATTTTTTTGAAACTCTTCAGACCTTGCAACATTAAATGAAATATAATTACTGTAAAAAAAGAACAATATCCTTACATGCTTCGTCCCATAAATTCTGTTTAAATTTATCGTTGATTATGGTCTATTTTAGTGTATTGGCGATTCCTCTTTTGAACACATCCTTAGGTGTTATCTCCACTTAACTTTTTCTTTTTCCACTTGAACAATCATTGGCAGTAGAATTATCTCCTTCAATGCTAATTTCTTGTGACTTTTGAAGCAACTTTGTTAGTAATTTGTAAACCTTATCCACTTGTTTACTCTTGAGTCATCTATTACAACTAAACACAACTTAGCATTATTATGGGTTCTAGCCAAATGATGTTTAAAATGATAAATACCTCCTGTAACTTCACCCTCACAGAATTTAAACTTCACTCTTTTAGAAATCGGGTCAAGTAAAATGCAATATTCCCATGTTGGGCCAGTTTTTATTCCAAGAGCATTTTTTACGGGAGTAGGAGTAGAAGCACCACTTTCAGCAACTGATGAAATATTTGAAGTCATTGCAGAGGGTGTAACACCCTTCTAACCCAACATGTATTATTCATATAATTTACAAATTAAATCACATATGATCAACCACTCAAGGGTGTCACACTTCATAGAAAATATCAAAATAACATTCATGCTCCGTAACACGGGTTACAACATTTTATAACATCAATTTCTTTCTTATACCATAACACATCAATGAAAGCTTCACAGTGGATATCATAGTCATAAAGTAAACTTCATTCATTCTTCAAAATTCAAGAGTTATCATCTCATCAAAGATATAATTGAAATCACATTAACCTTCCAAAAATCTCATAAAAACATAACAAAAGTAACATCATTCGCAAAACATAGCATTCCCAACCCGATTTTACATATCAAAGCAAGTCACCTCTAATTAACGGAAACAAATAACACACTCTGAATCTATCCTTAAAGCTTCTACAAATTAATCTTGGTCACATGCGCGTTACCCACGTGGAGTCAACATTCAAACAGAAAGGGTGAGTAATCGTCATTCATTATAAAAGATATAAGGAAAAGATTGAGTAGTTATAACAACATCATCACATAATAACACATATTATTCATCAATACTTCTTCATGCTCACACACACATCATAATATTACTTATACTTGTTTCATCATCAAACTTCATATAATCACACAATTTACAATTTTCATCATATCACAATTCATCAACAAATTTATACAGTGTCACATAAGATGTTAATACAACACAACTAACTCAAATTCATCTGGTACCAATATTTATGAACACCTGGTTCATTACCCTCCAAGATCCCCATCATAGGATCAATTCCCTCTTGGAACTAGAGCACATCATAAACGCACATAATCCACACAATAGGATTGAGGCTCGTCACAAGCGGACCACCGTCCAAAAATGTTATTAATACATGATGCACAACCTGTTGTCTTAGCTCCATACCATTTCTAATTTTAATACCAAACTCAGTCCAAAACGCATAACAATCATCATATATCACATACCAACATCAAAACATGTATAAGCACATATTGGGATTACACCATGACATTCATATATCACCAACATCAATAATGTCATCATATTTCATCAATTTCATCACATGTTTTCATCAAATTAACTACACAACAAAACCCTACATTACCCTAACCCTCTATCAATCATAATGAATTAGGATTAAACCCCTTACCTTAATTTCTCAGCAAATTTACTCTTTCTCTTCGAGTTCTACTGAATCCTCCTCTGAGCCTTAATTTTTCTTCGCGTTTTATCAATTCCACGATTGTACTAAAAATGATCTCAATTCCTTTTTTTTCTTCTTTTTATCCCTTGGACCATTTCTATGTTATTCTCCTTATACCCTCACTTATCTTCACATATCATCACCATGCTCTTATTCTCTCTTTTTCACCTTAATATATTGTTTATTCAATTAATATAACTCAAAATAATATAAACTAAATTATTTAATTAAAATAATTCTAATTAGCACATTAATCTACACTATCCCACCATATACCACATATACATCACATAATTCACCATAAATCAATATAATCAAATAAATAATTAAATTCTAAAATCTCGGGTGTTACAACTCTCCCCCACTTAAGAATTTTCGTCTTTGAAAATTACCCGAGGAAAACAGAGTCGGGTACGACTCTATCATCTGATCCTCATGCTCTTAAGTCAAATTTCCCCAAACTGGTCCACCCCACAATACCTTTACCAAGGAAATCTCTTTACCCCACAATTTCTTCACTTCCCGACCTTCTATTCGCACTGGTGATGCTATAACTGTCAAGTTATCTCTCACATGTACATCATCCATTTGGATTACATACGAAGGATCCAGAACGTATTTCCTCAACTGAGATACATGAAACACGCCATGAAGAGTCACAAGTGACGTCGATAAAGTAATCCGATAGGCCACCTCACCTATTATCTCAGTAATGTGATATTGACCAACAAAACCCGGTGTAAGCATTCACGACTTTAGAGCTCTACCAACGCCAGTTACCAGAGCAACCCTCAAGAACACATGATCTCCATGTTGGAACTCAAGTGCCTTTCTCCTCTTATCATGATAACTCTG